CCTGTAAGCAGCCTATAGCAAGGTAGGTGTGTATGTGGGAGCCTCACAAATAGAGCCCTTGGCTGCTGGGTGTGGTGGGAAATGATTCATGGACCTGCAGGTCTGCTAGGACCAGACATAGGTGAAGGTGACCTTAGGAGCAAATCAATAGGGTAAAGGGCTGGCTGGTAACACTGCATTTCTGAACAGAAGCACCATGGCTTTAAAACCAAAAGTTGCATTTCCCTATCATTCCCTCTATCTGTAGCTATGAGGAAAAAACACAATTAATGAGCTCTTCTGAAGATCCTGTCTCAAACGTTTTCAGCCTGTGGTGCTTCTAATTCACTTGCAGGAAACTCGGACACTTTGATTTTGGTGCTCAGCTACTGTGATACCAGAATATCCCAAAACTTGCACTTGGTTTGAGGACTTGTTCCTGGAAACAAGGGTGGTCTATGGAAACAACCAGTTAATGTCCAAGGACTTTGACCCAAAAATAGCAGCACAGTTCTCCTTGAAGTCTTTGGTGTGGGTCCTGTGTGACAACAGCCTTGTATTTCCAAGCTAATTGATGTCTCTGGAGCACTGAAGAGGAAACTGCTTCCAGGAGGGGCTGTTTTGTGAATGCATTTCAGTGAGGAGGGAAAAAAATCACCAATAAATTGTGATGCCTTTCCTAGTGGTGCTGTGGTGATGCCACATCACCTGCAGTTTCCATAGTGGCTGAAAATATTGCTGCCCATGCTAGTTTTTCTGAGGTCTCTGATTTTTTTTCAAAATTGCTGAGTGAGCCTCTCTCTAAAAACCATGCCTCGATCAGCTTCCTCAAGGTAGGCATGAGGAAATGTGGAGGAATTTACGTTTCTAGGCTCCTACCATGCCTTTGGAAACAGTTTGAAGTGACCCAGAGAGTATGTGCAGCCTCTCACTGGGGAATGCCGCGGGCTGCTCAACAAAAGCCTTTTTTATCATTTAGGAAGCAGCGTTCCAGTTTGCACAAGTGTCTTAGGCCATTTCGGCATCATCCAGCTCTGTGCACTGTGTTGCCTAATGCTGTCAAGTCCTTGGGCAACTGCTTCTCCGCCTGTGAGGATGGCAGTGTCTTAACTTGGCCGTAGACTTTTAACTTTTACCTTCCTCGGTGCTACAAGGGCATGTGATGTTCTTTGATTCCTGCTCATTTTGGTTTCAGAGCATCCTAAAATTCAGACTGGATTTGGAGGCCTGCCCTTTGCTAGAACGTTACAGTTCTGCTAGAAACGGTGACACTTGTATTTTGTAGTGCCTCGCTAGTGCATGTGACCTTAGCAAAGGGCAGTCTAGCAGGATGTGTAAGCGTGTGCTTGCTTAGCTTTAAGCAGAAGGTCTGCTCAGCACTAGTCTGTGAGTGCCCCACAGCTTGCAGATGGGAGTGTGGGGCTGAAGGCTGCTCGCTCAGCAGCCCTTGGCCCAGATGGGGCTATGGATGAGAGATCACAGCTAAAGGCTGCGCGTAACATCTCGGAGATGTCTAGGGAGAGCGTGTCCAACATCTAGTCAGTGCTGGCTTACACAAAACATGAGGGAAGCACATCTGTTGCGCAGCCCAGACTTGCTCCTGAGCTAAGTTCAGTAACTAAAGATGTGCAGACTCCGAGAGGAAAGCACCAAATTCAGAGTCCTGCTTCCCCATGAGTCACGGCGTTACGCCATTGCTCCCCTTGCAGATCTCCTTCGGTTCACTCCACGCTGTGTGTCGCTGGCATGACAGTTAATCTGGTTATGCTTCTTCGCTGGCTGCCAGTGTGATTTCTCCTCCTCCGCGCCCCTGAGGGCACCCAGCCACTACCGGCCCGCATGCTTCTGGAAGTCTGTGCTGCGGGTTAGCTCTGGAATGCACAGGCACTGCGAGATTAGTGTTTTGCTTTGGGTTTTTTTCCTGGTAGCCAGCAGAAGAGGTTTTTTCTTTCTTGTCTGGCACTGATTTCAAGGGGGTTAATATTCTGCCCTGTCAGATTTGCTCCAGCTATAGAGTGGACCTGTGCTTTTGACCAAGCAACTAGTGAAACATTAACTGTAAGGCTTGCCATTTCTTCTCATCCTCCCGGTCCATTAGATCTGGAGGGAGCGCCCCACACCCCCAGTGTGGCCCTATGTAGCAGTTTTTCCACAGACAGTTTTTCACAGATCCCTCCCTGTGACACACAGCGCTGGCCCTGACGCAACAGGACCCATGAGGGCATGTCCTCCTGCAAGCCTGTTTCCAGCCCTCTTGATGATGGTTCAGTCATGGACCTTATCCTCTTCTCTCACCAATTCTGTCTTGTGCCACTTCTTCCAGCTTTTATGTCTCATAGAGGTAACACAGCACACCTGGGAAGCGTGAGTGCCTTCATTTTTACTGCAGTAAAAACTCCTCTACTTGAAAGAACATCCCAAGGAAAGGTCTGGTTTATGAGTTCTTGGTGCATGGGGAAAGTGTGTTTGCCCCAGAGGCTGCAGCCCCTGCGTGGCATCGTGAGCTGGAGCCACCACTGCAGTACATGTGACAAGTCCTGTTTCTGAAAACCTGCATTGGATGAAATCACAGTTCAGAGCTCCCCTGGGGGTTTCAGCTTCACGGTCACAGAAGCAGATTCTGCTTTTCTTCCCTGTGATCTCAACCAACGTTTTGCCCTTCAGCCTAGAAGAGCCCTAGTTCTTGAACCAAAGGAATTAGCCAGCTGAGGATTTATCTGGAGAAGGAAGAATGTGGCCTTCCCCACCTCGCCCCCTCTGCCCATATACATGTTTACATTGTCACGGTGACATCTGTGTGCTTCAGTCACTTGGTCCAGGAGTAGCCATGTAGTTGCACAGCCTCCTGTGCCATCTGCAGGAATTGTTAAATAAAGAAATTAAAAAATCGAAAAGGTATAATGGCTTAATAAAGTTCTCGTGTTCTCAAACTGAAACAGTATGGTGTTTGGGGAGTTGAGTGCAGGTGCTTTGAGAGCCAACTGACATTGAGTTATTCTCGTTTTACAGTGGTGAACTCGAACAAATTACCCTTTGGGAACTTCCCAAGGGGAATGTTTGTTGACTCAGTTCACAAAGGAAGTAAGGATGTGCATTTGCTTGGGAAAATTATTACCCAAATCACAGAGTTCTTTTGAAACAGTTGTTTGACTGAATACCAAAAAGAAGCAATCAGACGCTTGCCTTAAAAGACCTTGGCAAAACAGCAAATGGTGAAATTATAAATTTCTTCTGTCTTACCCCCTCAGCACAGAATTATCTATATTTGGATTTCTTTTTTCAGCCCCAGAGAGGAAATGAATCAAGTTTGCAAATAGAGTTTGGACCACTGCAATGAGTCCGGCTGTGCCTCTTACATGAGGCTGAACTAGAAGAGTGTCCTGAGGAGCAGTGCTTGTTTTCGACTCTCAGACCCAAATGAGATCCCTCTCTCTCCTAAGGACATGTGGCAGGGAAGATGTGGATGTAGAGCTGGGAGGTTGGATGTTTGGGTTTCTTCCCATTGGTATCAATACCATACCAGGGAAGCCTTTTAGGCTCCTTTTAGTTCCACTGCTGCCATTGGAATGTCTGATCTAATTGGATTGAAGGTATGTGGGGCAGGGACTGCTCCATCTCTGTTGCTATTCCCATCTTTGAAGTATTTCCTAACCAGTCCAGAGAAGCTTTCTCTTCAGCGGGTACCACATCTCTCTCTTACTCTCACTCAGCGCTTTTCGCAACCCTTAGATTAAAGCTCCTCTGCTCCAGGATCATTCTGGATGGCAGGGCTGCCACCTCCACTTCCCTGGGTGAAGTTTGGCAAGGACTCATTCAAGAGATTTTTCATTTTTGAGGACCAAAGTTAGTTTGAGGCTGGAAGGAATGCCACGTAGGAGAACCTTTTTTTGATCTCTCGTGAAATATGCTGAGAGCAATGAAGTCTTGCATGGCTTGCCTAGTTGCCTTAAGGATGATCTCAGTGTTAGCAGATGGGATACTTGGGTGTACTCTTGGTCCCGTGGGGGACCAGAGCTCATCAAACAAATCTGTATCTGGTTTCAAAACTGGGATTTGTTACAGTCCTTGGCGCAATGAGCGGTCCCCTCTGCTGTCATTGCTTCCCTTGGTATCTGCAGTTTACTCTTTCCTTTTGCCTCTACCTGCTTATTTTTTAGATCTTACCACTAGCTTGAAAAATTCAATAATCAGTTGAATAATAACAGTGGTCAAGGATTTCTTTGTGGGGTCTCATCCTGCAATCCCATTCCCCGTGGATTTGATGTGATGTATTGAATCAGTGAGAATCCCAGGACTGATCTCCTGAAGGAAAGACAAGATGCAGGAAGCCAAACAATTAGATCATTCCCTGGGATTTTCATTTTCATATATAGATATATTCTAACTCTTTTGTTTAATTTTCCTGGATGGGTAGGTTTAATAGAGACATTCAAAAGTTTTAAAAAACCCCACCCTCATTCCAAATCAGGAAT